AAATTTTTTTTATTTTTTTTTAAATTTTAACCAAAAACCTAGACACTGTTTCAGTATAGAAGTCGTAGGATCCAGTCTTGATTCTTGTGAGCCTGCCAATTTTATGGAAGTGCAATACTGCATTGCTTTAACATTGAAGAAAAACTTTAGTATAGTGAGGCAGGAAACAGGCAGTCAGTCTGTCAGTCAGGTTGTAAACCAGCCAATCAAACTTATTTGGAAGAGGACACAAAGGTGACCTCCAAAACTATTCCCTGAACTGTCCATTTAGATTAGATTAGATTAGATTAGATAGATACTTTATTCATCCCCAAGGGGAAATCCAGTGCTTGAAAGGCCTAAAGTGAAAAAGTAGGTGGTCACATAATGCAGGGTGCACTGCATCAGGTGGTACAGTTTGATACAGTGTTAATTTTGACAGTAAATTCTGATTTAGTCTTAGTCTTTTGAATAACACACCATTTAGTTTTAGTCATATTTTAGTCATCTGAAATCTTTTAGTCTAGTTTTAGTCGACTAAATATCATAAGAGTTTTAGTCTTAGTCTAGTCTTAAGTCTTTTAGTCTTAGTCTAGTTTTAGTAGACCAAATATTAGCAGATTTTAGACGACTAAATCACGGTGGTTTATCTGATAAAATAATGTTAGTGTGTATACTAACCTTCGCATGTATTTCTGGATGAGTCGTCTGTAAATGTCACTTCCAGTTGGCGGTGTTTTTCCCAGCGATTTTTGCTCCACGCGGTTTACAAACGGTCTTGTTGTCCTTGTTGTCATATGTGAAGTGTGACCAGATGTTAATTCTTCGTTTTCGTCCTAGACCTAGCTCTGACATTTCTGTTGTTCATGAGCCATGCATTGCCCTCGGACCGGGTGCACTGCAAAACGTTAGCGTGTTGCTAACAACGAAGTCAACTGAAATCATCCAAAGCTGTGTAACTAAGACTGTGCAACTAAACACAACTAAATATAATGTAAACAACCTAACTGCTGTGAAAACGTCCTCGAAACTGTGCGAAGTTCTGCAAACTCGTTTAGCTGTTGCGCCTGCATTTGCCGCGGCTTTTTAAAATGGCTCTGCTGCTTCTGCATAGATCAACCTACCCTCAAAGATTCGCTCTGATTGGATTTCTTCCCAACTTGTCCCACAAGAACAGTAGTTCTGATTGGATCTCTTCTCCATTCGTCCCTCCCTAACATTTGCGTCTCATTTTTATTCGTTGACTTAAGTGTCAGTTATATTTCGTCACAGTCTTCGTCATCATCAAGGTTTGTTGACGAATATTTTTCGGCATAGCCTTCGTCAATGAAATTAACACTGGTTTCATACAGGGCAGACATATTGGAGTTTAGAGTTTTTCCTCCCCTGGGTGGAGTTGAAGAGCCTCATGGCGTGGGGAAGGAACGATCTCCTCAGTCTTTCAGTGGAGCAGGACAGTGACAGCAGCCTGTTGCTGAAGCTGCTCCTCTGCCTGTAGATGGTGCTGTGCAGTGGATGCAGTGGATTGTCCATGATTGACAGGAGCCTGTTCAGCACCCTTCGCTCTGCCACAGATGTCAGACTGTCCAGCTCTGTGCCCAACACAGAGCCCACCTTCCGCACTATCATACAATTCAATTTCAATCATACAACAGAGTTAACCGACTGAAATCCTGCTTCAAGTTTGACCTAACTGTGCCGTGAGTGATGCATTGCAACATTACAGGTGACTTCCAATAAATGGGTCTAGATGATAAATATATGGATGAATAAACTGTTGCCCCCATTGGACCTGTTATTCGCAATGTGGCCATGTTCAGTGACCTGAATCGTTGCTTTGGTACTCATTGAATTAAAACTAGATGTTGCTCCCATGAACATTCATTGGTATATCACATAGGAGCATTCTCTACTCTGCACACTTTTTTTCACATGTATTACAGTCCAGCACCTAGAATTTATGGTGCTTGGGGGGGGTGTGCTTTTGTAAGCTTGTTGCACTCATTGAATTAAAGTTCGTGAAATGCTTTTGAAAAAGAGAAAAAAAGCTTATTTAACCCAGTTTTAACATAAATTCTTAGACATATTTTGTTCTTCAAATCACTTAATCAGATCCTAGTGGGGTAAAATCAACAGGATAGATGGGTGCTATTCCAGTAAGGTTGCCACTGTTCTGTGGCAATTAAGTCTTTAGTGTATTATAGTTCTGTTGTGATGTCCACTGCACAAATAACACAGAGATGTGTCTTTAAAGTTCAGTGAACTGTTACCATGAGTGCCTGAAATTAACTCTAATTTAGCACAACCCTAACCCCAACCACAACAAACCCTAACTGTAATTCTTTCGCTGGTTGTTCATCCATTTTCACTGCTGTTTTCTCAGCGTTAAGTACTAGGGTTGGTTATCCAACCTGGGGGACAGAACCCCCACTAGGGGTCACTAAAGCTTCATGGGAAGGTTGCAAAAGCCTTCTTGATTTTAAGGGATTTAAGAAAACTGTATTGATTTATAGCCAAGCATGAAGGAGAGGAAAACTCCATTTTCATAGTAAACAACATTACTGACAGGTTCACTGACATAGGTAAAGCTAATAGTTCCCTCTGGACAACGCACATTAATCAACACTGCGGTTTACTCTTCAATGTAAATGTGCCAGAGCTAATTAGCTAATGTTCTATCATAGTCCCTGGGCAGGTTATAACAAATTAGTGCCATCATCATGACAAGTAATGTCATCAGTACAGCAACACAATACAATATAATAAACAAATACATTACAAAAGTGACAGAGATATGAAAAGATGAGGTGGTAAGAGTACTAATGGCTGCTGCTTTGGTTAGCCTTAAGCTTTAGGGAGCAGCAGTCAGAGGACTGGTTACCACTTTACCAACAGCTTCACACATCTTACAGTTAGTTCTGCGTCAGTCAGTTTGTAGGTCACAGTGAAAATGACGAATTCATCCGTCGCTCTGTCACTTCTTCCTGACGTGTTACTCGACCCCATCCTCTCAGCCTGCACTGGGATCAGGGTTCCTCTGGAAGACTAGCCTGTCACACATTTGTCACACGTGGCGCCGTGCACTGTGGGAGATCCTCAGAGCGAGTGGGAGATCGAACCAGCATTCGTCATGAGAGATAGCATCCCCTCCTCCATCTCGCTCGCAGGAAACATCACATTTGCCGCCACAAAGAAGATTACATTATTGACTCTCACTTTAGTTCTAAGTGAAAGAAAATCTGGAATATATTGTATATTAATGCAGCGTGTTGAAAAATGCAAGAGGACCCGTACTGGTGGAAAACATCTTCGTTAGAGACTCCCAAGTGCTTTCTCTTGGAAATGCTGAGTTTTTATTTATACGAAGAAAAGGTCAACTGTGGAGGGAGGGAGCAGAGTATTACTACTCAAGCCAACTCAGCTTTAATAATAAACCATCACTCTCTTCTCCATCACTCTCTTCCTCCTGAATATTTGTTCTCCAGGAATCAGAGCAGGCATGCTTATATAATGCTGCTGGGTTTCCCTTGAGGTGTGTGTGCACGCGCCTGTGAGCGTGTGTGAGTGTGTGTGTGTGTGTGTGTGTATGCAGCACAGTGGTGGAAAACGAACCTGACAATTTTTACAGCGATGATCCTGACTCGAGGCGTACTGTAAGCCCTGTAACTCTCCACCAGATCTGCAGAAACCACTGTAAGCAGCAACATGACAACAGGCAGCGTGATCTGGGTCACTGACAGTGTAACAACCTCTGCAGCCGGCTCAGGACCGAATCCCTTTACTGCCCCCTGGTGGACACACCTGGAACATGCTGCTGTGTGTGACATTGCCACAGTCGAGCAGAGTTTCAGTAAATCGCTCTAATTTGGCAAAATTAAGATAAAGAGTTTGGGGAATTTGTCTTTTTTTTTTTAATTAACAAATAAATGTACATCAATCAGACATTTCTTTAATACCAACTAAATATTTAAAGTAGATTTAACCAAAAACTCCACAAAACATCTCATTAAAGGCTTTTTTGAAAGCAGTAATCAGTATAATTAACTCACTTAAGATTTTCAAGAAGTTCATTCTTAACCTTGGAAATAAAATCAATCATAGTTCAAGGTCCATTTACTAGCAATTCCAATCACATCTCATGGTTTATTTGCATACATCAATTAAGGGAAGTGGACCTTGTAATAAGTGGATATTTAAATAAATATTTGAATAATTTAGATTTATATATTGGAATTTGTCAGACAATATCCAATGAATCAGATCTTTAGAAAGGGACGACTGCAGTTACAGTCAGTGTTTTTGGTGCTGAAACATGAACAGGAATTGTTTCAGCTCTTCAGCTAAGAAAAGGTAAATAAATTATACATTAGATTATATAATATGTAGACACACTGAGAATTTTCTATACAGAAAGCAATTCAAATAGTTAAAACATTCAGAAAAGCACTTTAATTTAGTAAATATATATTTATGGCTGTTTCATCAGGCTTCACATGGTACATCAAATTCTTTAAAAAAAAGTCTGTAGTTTTTTAATGATACAATTTCCACCCATTCTGTGATTTTTTGTGTTCTTGTTTTTACCACTGATAATATAAGATCAGTTGCTGCCGTCTGTCTGTGAGCAGCAGAGAACTTAGAACCAGCAGCTTCAATCTCTCCCTCACACAAACATGTGACTTTACATGTGCGTTCTGTGTGCACACCAACGTGTGATGTGTGACACGTGTATGTGTGTGTGTCGTAGATTACTAGATTTTCTGGCTATAGATGATTAAAGATTTGACTTTTTTTCTAACTCAGTGCCCGGTCAAAGAGGAGGAAATGACTCAATCAATAATTTGACTGAAATTGGTGACATGGTGGTAATTAAGAAGCCACTTTTGTATAATGTGCTTTTTAAAGTATTTGTTCATGTCTTTCCTCAGGAAGAACCTACAAAGATACATATTTTCACTCTGTTTCTCTCTCTCTCTCTCTCTCTCTCTCTCTCTCTCTCTCTCTCTCTCTCTCTCTCCCAGGTCGCCATTATCGCTGGAAACTTTGAGCTCGCTGAACTCATCAAGAACCACAAAGAGACAGATATAGGTAAGTGGCAAAGCTCCTCTTTTCTTCTCCTCCATCCATCCATCCATCCATCCGTCCATCCCTCACCTTATCTTTCAGCCACCCAGCGTGTACATTCCTGAATCTCCCTGAGGATACATTTCAAATCCTCCCATGGTTTGATCCTCCTAAATGACCTCCCAGTATAATCCCCTCTGCGGGATTACGAGAGCGTTGCCAAGAGGATGAAAGTTTATGTTTACACCGGGACAATCCCGGGACGATTAGGCCAGGAGAAATGATCAATGCCTCCACCAGCGGGAGCTTTAGTTTCGTGGGAGCCTGATTGGTTGGTTTCCAGAGGTGTCGACTGGTTCATTTGATTCTGCGTGAAAGGATTTGATTAAATCAGTAGATGGATTTTCTTCTGTTGATTGTGATTGTTTTATACAACATAAAGCTCAGTTTGGTGCATGTTGTAGAGGCTTTAGGGAAAACATTTAAAGCTTTTTGTGTGTCAGACTCGATTAAGGGTTTGGAAATTAGACGACTTGTCTGGACTTTGTGTTGCAGTCATGACACTGGTCTCGTTTGAAAGATCACAGTCGACATTTTCCAGTTGGAAAAATTTACCAAATAGGTTCAAACTATCCGAAGACTATCAGACTATCTGAAGATGTTTATTAAACATTCACATTTAGATCACATTTCACTGGGATGTGCAATAGTGAACATTTTTATTGTCTACAATGTGCAAATAATGGCCTGTCATCAGTTTGGGCCCTACAACCGTATCCAATTGAAAGCCAGAATAAATGTAAAGTAGTAAGTTAAATAAATAAAATAGAAATACCTGCCTCACACAGAACTTGAACCAGAGTCTTCTGGGGAAGGATCCTATGATTAACCCACTCATCCACCACATTATAGGGCAGCATTGGCATTGGGATCCCATGGAAACGCAAATCTCGCAGAAACAGGCATTCAACTGATAAACTGCGGGTCCCGGGATTTAGCTTGCGCCCACTAGAAGGATGGAGACAGAGTCAACAAATGATGTTGAAAGCAAGGCAAGTCTGACATTTGGAGAAATCCCTCAACTTTTCGTCTGTGGGACAGGAGGACACACAAAATCTCTGTTGTGCAGACGTGAATGATCAGAATGTTAGCGGGTGCGAGTGGGAGTGGACACACACATAGCAGGAAGGGTCAGAAATCCAGTGGGAGGGCTCTACACCACATCTTCCTTCTGTAATGGTCCTCGCTTCTGATACCGACTTCTATACTTTGTACTTGTAACTTGAAGACTAACTATACACTCAAGTCCCCGTGTGTATACCTTCAGTGTGGTCCAAGCTTTAACCAATACACCAAAGGCACAGCCTATATAGTTCAATATCTATGACATTTTATATGAAACATTACAGTAAATTCATTTACTGTAATATTTTATTTCAATATCAGCCTGCTATGTGGTCACGCTCATGCACGTAGCATATCCATCCCTCCATGATTAGTTAGGACCTAAAATGTGATAGTAAGATAGTGAGCGGAGGTAAAGACACTGCAGCGTGTTTTCCACCAGATTGGTTCTGGTTCTTGAACCGGCTCCGTTCAGGATTAGACTACAATAAATAATCTTTTTAGGAATAAACCTGCCTCCTGCCTGAACTGTTGTAGCTGAATAGTGTCTCCTGCGCTGCTGTATTTCTGTTGCTGTGGTCTTAATGGTGGTAGTTGGAGAGTCAGTATTTTCTGAGGTGGTGTAAAATGTTTGAGAAACACTGTTATACTGAACCAAATTACAGAGCCACAGAAACGGCAAAATGTAAGATTTATTTAAGTTGTACTGTTTTATTTTCTTTGCATTGTTAGCAAAGAAGCAGCTGCTGTTACAATGATATTGGGATCTCTGGGAATTGGGAGGCTTTGTGTTTTTAAATGATGTATAGGTTGTTAAAGGTTGAGTGAATTCAAGCGGCTGCAATCCCACATAAGGTAACAAATGAGCCTCTCAGCCCGTATTCTGGTTGAAGGGTTAATTTTGTTGGAGACTCAATTAAAATGCAAGATTGTGCCGGTATATAATACTGTATGAGAGTTATTTCACTCTGCGTCTGTGTGTGTGAGAGGACCGAGAGGGAGGTGAGAAGACGAGAAAGATTTCTCACGAACATACAAAAATGAAAAAAAGATTTTTGAACAGATTCCATGTTTGTTTTTTTTCCCGTCTTGCTATTTATTACCTTTGTTGCTTAGTTGCCACCTATTAGTTCTGGAGAGGCAGATTGGCGATGGAAACAGATTCAGCTCCGATTTAACACCTGATGGAGAAACATTATCTGAACGGCTTCAATACACACCTCAGATCCCTTCTCTGTCAGCTGCTTACAGCTGTTGCGTCGACGTCCAGATGTGTCGAGGGTTCGGAAACAGAGAACGTCTCCAGTCGAGTGAAATGAACATGGAGACTTTGCTCGGATGCTGGCTCGGGCCTTTAGAGCAGTTCGAGCAGAGGTAGCTCAGGGATTACGGGGCCTCAGAGAAAATGAGAAAAGATGAACGAACAAATGAATATATAAAGGAGGGCAGAGAACGATTGAGGGGGAAATGAATGAAGAGAGAAAGAAATCTAATCTAATCTAAAGATGTAATCCTGCAGTCGTTGCCCTCGCTCATGGACGCCACCAACCAGCCGGCTGCCTCACATGGAGGCGACCTGGTGGAGGGCTAAATGGGACACGCCGGCGGTGCAGGATTACCCCCAAAAAGCCTTGTCCGCATCTGCTACACCTCCCTCCTCCCTCCCTTCACACCGTTTCTACCACAAGTGCGTGTCCGTGGCTGTGAGCGGTACCCAGGATTAGACAAAGGTGATCAGGTAGTCAGTCGGCCATCGTGTTCGGACATATTTGCCCCCCCCGTGAGCCGCCGTTACTGTGGATTTGGGGATGGGAGATATTTACATCTGGATTCTGGATTGGCCACCATGGGTTCAGCCTGCTGTAAAGGTGGGTGCCCCCCCACCCCTCCCATCCCACTACCCCGTACTCCCATCAACCCTCTACCCAAGGTCCTGGACTCGCTGCCCCTTCTTAAACACACACACTTGCCCAGCCCACCCCCGTCTCACCAGAGACAGCTTGTGTCGTGTTGAGCCTCCTGCTGGTTATATGCAGCTTTAGTTTTATGTTGAGCGTGTGTGTGTGTGTGTGTGTGTGTGTGTGTGTGTGTGTGTGTATGTGTATGTGCTCTAAACACAATAAGCCCCGTGGCTTTCACAGTTTCTCTCGCTTACTCTGTCCAGATGATGTAACAGTTCAGCCACACAAATCTTCTATTTCATTGCGTCATTCTTTTTATATTTCACTATGATGTTGAGACTGCCACCCGTGCAAAGCTGTAATGGCCAAAAGGGGCCCCCAGACCTGGGTCAGGACTTCGTATGGGTAGAGTCACTGTGTGTTCCTTGGTTTGTGGTGATTAGATCAACAGCAGTTTAATTTTAAAATATGAAGCACTAAAGTATGAGCCAGAAAGGAATAATAAAGGCATTCCTGCATTTTAAATGAGATTTTTGACATCCGTCACTTGTTTGTCTCACAGTACACATTCAGTTCAGTCATTTTATCCTCCCAGATGGGAAACTTGAGATGCATTCAGGGACACAAACATGAAAACAAACAACACAAACAGAGAAAAAAACAAAAGTACCAAAACACAAAAATGATTCCTGAACGTACAATTTACAGTAACCCATAATGCAACAGCATCTATGATGCTATCTATCTATTGTAATTAACCATGGTACTACTCTACGGTCTGAGGGAAGAGTTTCAAACTCAGGGCTGCAGGAGGGGATTTCTACTGTCCAGTATGGACCTGGCCTTGCTGAGAACCTGCTGCTCAAAGACAACCATCAGCAGTGTCTGTGGGAGACCCATCACCTTCCCAGCAACCTTAACAATGTGGTCCAGGCGGTTTTTGTCCTTTATGTCGCACATACTGGACATCTTCCAGAGTCAGTGTTCAAATGCAACACATTCGTTACCTCTGCCATTGGCTATGTGAGGCTGCTGAGCCCAGTTACATTGCCCTCTCACCTAGCTCCAGTTCTAGCACAACCCCAGCTCCGCTCCTTGTCAGCATTCCCAACTGGCTCCTCTTCATCATGAACGAAAACCTCCTCCTAACAGTGCTCCAAAGCTCTTTTGCTAGCGTTGTAAACATACCAACACTCCCCCGGTGCTTTGAGCTCCCACACACCTAGCTAACTAGCTTAGCGGTTAACTTAATTTAGCATCCTGTAAAGCTGTCCATCAGAAAACTCTGTAAACCTGAGAGATGACACGGAGCACCCGGAGGATGATCCAGTTTCACCAGAATCACAGTGTGACTGTTGTGAAACGTTATCCCGACCCGGAGTCACCGCTGACCCTCAAGATGAGAGTGAAGCAAGGTAGAAAGGTTCCATAACGCGGCTTTATTGCAGCCCTGTATATTCTCCATAACCTGCTGCGGATGTAGATGTCTGCAGGTTAGTGCACGTGCTGCTTTCAGTATTTCTGCTGCAGAATAGACCCTGTTAGTGCCTGATAGGTGCAGGTGAAATGCATGAGAGGGACATTAACTATCATCTTCATTTGGTGGTCACAAGACTCGGAAGCTCTTAATCAATCGGCCAGTTATTTCCTCTGCTCGCTCCGAGTTCACTCAGAGGAGAGAAGACTTATCCAACCTTGAGTGCTGGGAAACAGAGAATTATGGAATCATTGGGGCATTCAGTGTCACCATAGTTTCTAGATAGACTCCTGTGCAGAGACAAAGGCAGACAAAGCTGTGAAGTAGGACACCATGTGATTGGTGGAAGAAAGGAAGGCTTCTCAAAGGGCAATTTACGTATATAGCCCGTCGTTCTTCATGCGGTTAACGTGTGTGAGTGTGACCTATATACTGTAGTTAATAGTCACTCAAAGGGCCGTGCAAAGACACATGTTAATATAAAGTCCAGTACAATTACATAATGTCAGGTTAATACTGTT